TCTTTTAGTGATGGCCTCCAACCTACTAGCGATGGCCTCCAACCTAGCCTATTGACCTTCAACCCGCGATGGCCTCCAACCTAATAGCGATGGCCTGCAACCTACTAGCGATGGCCTTCATTCTTTTAGCGATGGCCTCCAACCTAAAAGCCATAGCCTCCAACCTAAAAGGGATGGCCTCCAACCTAAAAGCGATTGCCTCCAACCTAAAAGCGATTGCCTCCAACCTACTAGCGATGGCCTCCAACCTATTGACCTTCAACCCGCGATGCCTCCAACCTAAGACCGATGGCCTTCAACCTAAAAGCGATGGCCTCCAACCCGATGGCCTTCCACCTTAAAGCGATGGCCTCCAACCTAATAGCGAAGGCCTCCGACCTAAAAGCGATGGCCTCCAACCTAAAAGTGATGGCCTCCAACCTAAAAGCAATGGCCTCCAACCTAATAGCGATGGCGTTCAACCTAAAAGCGATGGCCTTCAACCTAAAAGCGATGGCCTTCAACCTAAAGGTGATGGCCTTCAACCTAAAAGCGACGGCCTCCAACCCAAAAGCGATGGCCTCCAACCTTAAAGCGATGGCCTTCAACCTTAAAGCGATGGCCTCCAACCTGATAGCGATGGCCTCCAACCTGATAGCGATGGCCTTCAGACGATGGCCTCCAACCTAATGGCCGTCAACCTAAAAGCCATGGCCTCCAACCTAAAAGCGATGGCCTCCAACCTAAAAACGATGGCCTTCAACCTAAAAGCGATAGCCTCCAACCTAAAAGCGATGGCCTCCAACCTCAAAGCGATGGCCTTCAACCTGAAAGCAATGGCCTTCAACCTAAAAGCGATGGCCTTCAATCTAAAAGCGATGGCCTTCAACCTAAAAGCGATCGCCTTTAACCTAAAGGTGATGGCCTTCAACCTAAAAGCGATGGCCTCCAACCTAAAAGCGGCCTCCAACCTGAAAGCGATGGCCTCCAACCTAAAAGCGATGGCCTCCAACCTAAAAGCGATGGCCGTCAACCTAAAACCTATGGCCTCCAACCTAAAAGGGATGGCCTCCAACCTAAAAGCGATGGCCTTCAACCTAAAGGCGATGGCCTCCAAACTAAGAGCAATGGCCTCCAACCTAAAAGCGATGGCCTTCAACCTAAAAGCGATGGCCTCCAACCTAAAAGCGATTGCCTCCAACCTAATAGCGATGGCCTCCAACGTAAGAGCGAAGGCCTCCAACCTAGCCTCCAACCTAAAAGCGATGGCCTCCAACCTAAAAGCGATAGCCTCCAACCAAAAATAGCGATGGCCTCCAACGTAAAAGCGATGGACCCCAACCTGAAAGCGAAGGCCTCCAACCTAAAAGATGGCCTCCAACCTAATAGCGATGGCCTCCAGCGTATTAGCGATGGCCGCGATGGCCTCCAACGTAATAGCGATGGCCTCCAACGTAAGAGCGATGGCCGCGATGGCCTCCAACGTAAGAGCGATGGCCTCCAACGTAAGAGCGATGGCCTCCAACCTAGTAGCGATGGCCTCCAACGTAATAGTGATGGCCTCCAACGTAAAAGCGATGGCCTCCAACCTAATAGCGAAGGCCTCCGACCTAAAAGCGATGGCCTCCAACGTAAAAGCGATGGCCTTCAACCTAAAAGCGATGGCCTCCAACCTAATAGCGATGGCCTCCAACCTAAAAGCGATGGCCTCCAACGTAAAAGCGAAGGCCTCCAACCTGAAAGCGAAGGCCTCCAACAACCTAAAAAGCGATGGCCTCCAACCTAAAAGCGAAGGCCTCCAACTTAAAAGCGAAGGCCTCCAACCTAAAAGCGACTGCCTCCAACCTTAAAGCGATGGCCTCCAACCCAAAAGCGAAGGCCTCCAACCTTAAAGCGATGGCCTCCAACCTAATAGCGATGGCCTCCAACGTAATAGCGAAGGCCTCCAACCTAATAGCGATGGCCTCCAACCTAAAAGCGATGGCCTCCAACCTAATAGCGATGGCCTCCAACAACCTAAAAGCGATGGCCTCCAACGTAAAAGCGAAGGCCTCCAACCGAAAAGCGAAGGCCTCCAACAACCTAAAAAGCGATGGCCTCCAACGTAAAAGCGAAGGCCTCCAACCCAAAAGCGATGGCCTTCAACCTAAAAGCGATGGCCTCCAACGTAAAAGCGAAGGCCTCCAACCCAAAAGGGATGGCCTTCAACCTAAAAGCGATGGCCTCCAACGTAAAAGCGAAGGCCTCCAACCCAAAAGCGAAGGCCTCCAACCTAAAAGCGATGGCCTCCAACGTAAAAGCGATGGCCTCCAACCTAAAAGCGATGATCTCCAACCTAAAAGCGATGGCCTCCAACGTAAAAGCGATGGCCTCCAACGTAAAAGCGATGGCCTCCAACCTATTTAATAGCGATGGCCTCCAACGTAAAAGCGATGGCCTCCAACCTAAAAGCGATGGCCTCCAACCCAAAAGCGAAGGCCTCCAACCTAAAAGCGTGGCCTCCAACGTAAAAGCGATGGCCTCCAACGTAAAAGCGATGGCCTCCAACCTAAAA